GGGGCAGGGTACAGTCTAGTCAGGATAGAGGGCGGTCTAGACCAGGATAGGGGGCAGTTTAGTATCGGAACGTGAGAGGTTCAGTCTAGTCTAGGAAAGGGGTAGAGGGGGACAGTTTAGCTAGGATAGGAGGGATCAATCTAGCTCAGCAGAAGGAGGGCAATCTAGCCGGGAAAACGAGGCAGTCTACCTTGGAAAGTAGTACTTGGTACTTTCGAATCCAGCTTCTGAACCAGGATAGGGAGCAGTCTAGCGAAAGCTCCTGAACAAGCTAGGCAACTTCTGCCATCGATCCTTAAGTTTCTGCGCGAACAGCTTTAAGGGAAAAGTGCCTGACGTCATCCTGACGCCGAGTGTCGCGGAACTGGTGGCGTTGGTCAACAGAGAGATAGTCGGTGAGTGGTTTAGTTTACCCCAGGGGACAGGGGGGGAGGCCTAGCCAGGATAGACAGCGATTTAGCCAGGAAACGCGGGAGGTTTAGTCTAGTCTAGAAAGGGAGGTTTCAGACTAGACAGTCTGGAGGATGGGGGCGGCCTAGCCCAGGAGAAGAACGGCAATCTATTTGGGATAGGGGATCAGTCTGGCCCAGGAGAAAGAGGGGTGGGGGGCAGTTTACCCAGGAGAGGGAGCCGTCTAGCCTATTAGAGGGGGGATCAGTCTAGCTCAGGAGATGGTAGAGGGTGGGGGGTAATCTAGAACAGGATAGGGAGCAGTCTAGTCTAGTAGAGAGCGAACAGCTTCAAGGGAAAAGTGCCTGACGTCATCCTGACGCCGAGTGACGCGGGACTGGTGGCGTTGGTCAACAGGGAGATAGTCGGTGAGTGGTATTTGATACTTTCATAGGTGGCCACAGCTTCTGAGCCATAAGGAGGGGGCAGAGGACAGTCTAGCCAGGATAGGGGGCAGTCTAACCAGGATAAGGGGTAGTGTAGCCAGGATAAGGGGTAGTCTAGACAAGATAGGGGACAGTCTAGCCATTAAAGAGCTTTTACGCGAACGGCTTCAAAAGAAAAGTACCTAAAGCCGGGTGACGCAGAACTGGTTGCGCTGGTCAACAGATAGATTGTGGGTGAGTGATACTTTATGGTTTCATGGGCGAACACACCTTCAGTCTAGGCAGTGTAGTCCAGACGAGGGAGCGATACAGTCTAGCTAGAATAGAGGGTGGACTAGGCAAGGAGAGGGGGAAGTTCAGTCTAGTCTTGAGGATTGGGAGAAGCCTAGTCCAGGAGAACGGGACAGTCTAACCAGTATAGGGGGCTGTCTAGTCAGGATAGGGGGATCAGTCTAATATGTAAGTCTAGATATTAGCACGTCACTACCTTGTTTAATATACCACGCAATCTTGTATACCCATTCTTATAAGATACACCATACAAGAATGCATGGTAAATTCAGTGAACTGCTCCTGAATCGAATGTACCTACTACTACTATTTCTATTTATTTATATTAACCGGCAGACAGTGGTCTGAGTTTGTTGCGGCGCTTCTTCTCAGCACTTGCCAAATGTTGGTCTCGAAGCGCTGGTAGGGTAAAAAGATTATGAGACATGTAGAGGCTCCTTAAGAGCAAAATGACGATTTGTAAGAACTATTTATTAGTCCAAACAAATAAAGAAATTTTGACTTTGACTTTGACTTTAGCCCAGGAAACGGAGGGCAATCTAGCCGGTATAGGGGAGCAGTCTAAGCTAGGGAACGCAGTCTAGCTTGGTAAGTAGTACTTGGTAGGAAGGGAAATCAAATTAGACTTCATTAGTCAAAAATCCCCCACGCTTTGAAGTACGTAAGACTAAAGGCAGGTATGTAGGGTCGTACCATTTCCATGGACATGGACAAGGGATATAAAGTTTCGAATTTAAATTCATCGTTAGTGTTTATTGTATTGTTAAATGTTTCATTTCTATAAATTCCACGAGCATGTTTCCATTGATTATTTACTTACGGGACACTCTTTTCTTTGACAGCATACGTACAACACATGGAGAAGGGCCGCCTTCGAGAGTCGCTGAGGCACGTGCTGTCGATATCCCGGCTCGGCAACCAGCACATGCAGTCTGAACAGCCCTGGGTGCTCCTCAAGGGCTCTGACGACGACAAGTGAGTGCACTAGATCAGGCTTGTGTAGTACATGTACTATGTACTAATAGGAAGCAATTCCTTTATGGGAACAAGAACGAACTATTCCGTCTTGGTCGTTCAAATCGGTCTTTTAGTTCACTTAGGTACAGCCGATCACGAATGAATAGGTGTGAACGAGACGTGAAATTGGTGACAAGCCCGCCCGAGCGAGATGGATTCGGCTCTGTCTGTTGCGAGTATTTTGCGACATTGTACTATAAGATGATAGTAATAAAGACGTTTTTCGTCCGATCTGATTAGAAAAAATCGATGTACTAAAATTAACTAATAGTGCTAGAATGAGACGTGAGATTAGTGACGTAATGTGAGCGCGAGTGAGATGGGTACGGCTCTGAAACTGTGTTGCGAGTATTTTTCGATATTGGACCATAAATACATAGGAATAAAGACTTTTTTCGTTCGATCTACCTAACAGAATCTGTGTACTAAAATGAACTAATAGTATTAGAAGACCGAACTAGTTCATTTGACCGATTGTACTAGTTCATTTGATCGATTGTACTAGTTCATTTGACCGATTGTACTAGTTCGGAGCGATCCGTTCAGTGTCCGAGTAAGAACAAGCCTACACTAGATCATCATCATTATTGTCATACGTACAACACATAAGGGCCGCCTTCGAGAGGCGCTGAGGCACGTGCTGTCGATGTCCCGGCTCGGCAACCAACACATGCAGTCTGAACAGCCCTGGGTGCTTCTCAAGGGCTCCGATGACGACAAGTGAGTGCACTCATCATCATTATTGTCATACCAGGCCTGTCCATCTCCGCGAGTTTACATCGAAAACAAAACACGCACGATGGCCCACCTACAGGATACTATTCGACAAGGCCTCACATACGAGCGAACATTGACTCACGCACGCGTATTCTTGTGTATGATGGAAGAAAATAAAGAAAATGGTGTACTAAATACTGTGCAGTATTTAACTGCCTAAATAATAATAAAAACACAGAATGTACTTTTTTAAGTTGCCTGAAGACACTGAGAGGTAAAAAAGTAGTTAATATTATTTATGATAATTCATGCTAAATCATGTATTTGTCCCTCCGCCATTTTCTGCAGTTTGGCACCTCACGTCACATCATTTTACCGAAGTCACACAACACACTGACAACGCGTTTGCGCGCGGGATTCGTTATATGCGGATCGCGGCGGAGCGCGGTGCAGTGTGATAATCGCCTAAAGGGATAATCAGTCCAACAAAGAATCAATACAAAACTGGCAGCTACCAACAAAGTTTGATGACTTTTCTGCAGCCGGTATTTCAAACGGAAGCTTCAGCCCGGAGCACTGCAACCCTAGCGTGGCCATACTGATCACATATCGAAATCGGCAAAGGGGGCGGGGCCACTGTCGCAGCAATATGCCCAAAAACAGAACACATTGCTCGCGACAGCAATGTGCCATGCAGTTGACGTTATATGTGTAAACAGTTTACATTGCTTGCGTAGTACTAAAGATTATTCGAACGTTGAGTACTGATACCGCAGTGGATAATGAGCACATTCAAAGAAGCAAATTCAAGAGACTTGGTAGAAACCGGACCTAATAATGGTACCTAACATGAGACCTTCAGTTCAAACTATTTTAAACCTTACATCCTCGTCTTAACGTCTAAAAATGTGTGTTTTCTTCCAGGCAGCGCGGTGCCACAGCCATAGGCCTGTGTTGCCAGCTAGTGGCAGTGCTATGCGCGCTTCTAGCGCCATACGTACCTGACACAGTGCGCAAACTACGAGCGCAGTTGAATGTCGATGCTACAGCTCTGAGGATCAACCCTAAGTAAGTATTGTAAGTCCGCCGGAAGACATAGCATGGGTAGGCCTCCCATTAAGTGGACCGACGATCTGGTTAAGGTCGCGGGAAGAGCCTGGATGCGGGCAGCGCAGGACCGTTCATTGTGGAAAACCTTGGGGGAGGCCTTTGTCCAGCAGTGGACGTCTTTTGGCTGAAACGAACGAAGGTGTACAAGGAGCCTAAGTCCGTCCACACTATAGTCCGGTCTCCGAGCACGTAGAATTTTGTCCAATGACCCCAAGCTACCCATCCTTATCGCTCGCGCGTAATTATGTTGCTGTCGCGCTCGCACACTCACTGCGGGCGCCCGTCGCACAGTCGCGACAGCAATATAATTACGCGCGAGCGATAAGGGTGGATAGCTTGGGGTCATTGGACAAAATTCTACGTGCTCGGAGACCGGGCTTTACACGAATTTTGGCTCGTGCTCGTAGACACACTTTAAAATAATTCTTCTCCCAACAGCAACCCAGCCATGATTCAGTATCTGCCTTCCGGCCACGTGATCGGCAAGCCGGAGCCTTTGTTCGCGAAGATCGAGCCAGAATTGCTGGAGAAACTAAAGGCCAAGTACGCTGGCACGCAGAGCGAGAGAGCTAACGTGGTATGTGAGCATTTGTGATCCTAGCTTTTACAGTTATAAAATTATTATACAGGGTGTTAGGTAAATGGGTATATGAGCCGACACTAGCCCATGTTAACATGGGCATATAAATGGTATGGTGAAGTCAGAAATTTGATATCATCAATTTATTTTTTTAAATTTTCATACAAAATAAATTTTATAAAATCCGATTTGTATGAAAATTAAAATAATTAAAATGAAGATATCAAATTTCTGACTTCACCATACCATTTATATGACCATGTTAACATGGGCTAGTGTCGGCTCATATACCCATTTACCTAACACCCTGTATAATATGTGGGCAACAAGTAGATGTTGTTTCCTCATGGCCGCTGCCTGTAGAACTCATCCGCTGTGGTAAATCCTTATAGAATATTTCAGAAACTGAAATGGATATTTTATTTCAGAATGGCGACGTGAATAAGTCAGCTGCTGAATTAGAAGCTGCCATCGCGGAACAGGTTGGTATTTTTCGCTATTGTCAATCTGGCAATACAAAAACTGACAAAATAACAAACTTTATAATATAAGTAAGTTTCTGGCAATTAAATTCGTCCCTTTATAGAAGAGAAAAACAAACATTGTTGCTATTTTAATCAAAAGTTGGTTCTAATCCGTATCTCCAGCACGAGTTTTGGTTTACACAACAAACAAAATCATGTCAACATTCAACATTTTTTGTAGGCAATTTTGTTGAATGTTGAAATATTTTTGTTGATTGTTGAGAGTAAAACACGCGCTAGAGACCCGGCTACAAACAAAGACAAACTTTGTGTATGACCAAATTTTTTTAAGTAATTTATAGTTCAAAAGGATGTGTGAAACCACTTCTAAGATAAATGTCAAAATTGTAACAAAAACGTGTCATTCAAAACCAAGCTAAGACATAAAGATAAAAACATAATATTATCTTGGTACAGGGCGACAAAGTCCGCAAGCTCAAAGCGTCGACCAAAGACAAGGCGGTGTGGCAGCCGGAAGTCGACAAGCTGTTACAACTTAAGAAGCAGTTGGCAGCCGCTCAGAGTTCACAACTTCAAACGACCACAGGCAGCAGTGGTCAAAGCGCCGCGGACTTGGAGAAAGCTATTGCTGAACAGGTAATTAATAAAATCTATATTTATAAATGCGAAAGGTCACTAATTGTGGTCACACTCATCACAAAATCTCAGAAAATACAAGTACTAGGAGTCTCAAATTATGCATTGTGCAAAATTCAACCCCTAAGGGGGTAAAACGGGATCCACGCGTACGGAGTCGCGGGCGGCCGCTAGTATTAAAGAACTTGAAAAAATCGAACTGCCTAAGGCGGGAATCGAACCCACAACCTTTCGCTTGCCGGGCGACTGCTCTTCCATCTGAGCTACTTAGACATTGGATGAACCCGACAAAATTTTCAAGTGTAATACGCTGTTACGGCCAGCGTTTGTTTCATCAGTTTCAAAAATAAATTATAAATAACTTAAAAAATTATGCAGCCGCCACCAACCGGCCATTGTGGAAATCATTGGGGGAGACCTATATTCAGCAGTGGACGTGCTATGGTTGAAAACACCTAAAATAATGCGGACTAACTGACCTGATGATGATCTATGAGCTGTTTTTTTTTGTATCCGGCTCGAAGGACCAATATGGTCCAGTTTAAATTTTGAAACACATGTTTATAAACAAAACAATATTAATTGCTTTGTATCTGTCAGCATGAAATCGTGAACTCTGTCAGTTTATAATATAACGCGTTAGATTGTAAACTAACAGTGGGTTAGGTTAGGTTAGATTGTAATTTAACTACGTCAGATTATAATTTGACGGAATTCACAATTTTACGGTGATATATCTATAACATAAAACCTCAATCGACCGGCGGTTAGAGACTAAACTAATTATTGTCTTGTCTATGCTCACAGGGCGACAAAGTGCGCAAGCTCAAAGCGTCCACCAAAGACAAGGCGGTGTGGCAGCCGGAGCTCGACAAGCTGTTACAACTTAAGAAGCAGTTGGCGGCCGCTCAGTCAACTGCCAGTAGCGGTAGCGGTCAAAACTCGCAAACGAAGAGCGCCGCGGACTTAGAGAAAGCGATTGCTGAACAGGTAATGTTCTTTAACCAGCTTATTGTCGGCCGGCTGTTTGGTGTAGTGGTTCGAAACGGACTACTAATCCGAAGGTTGCGGGTTCGATTCCCGCACAGTACAAACTTTTGTGTGCATGAACATATTTGTTTGTATTGGACTGGCTGTTTTCTATGTATAATATGTATGTATTTACAAAAAAAAGTATTTAAGTATGTTTATATCCGTTTTCTATTCCCCATAGTACAAGCATTGCTTAGTGTGGGACTAGAAGCGCAGTGTAAAATGTCAAAGGATATTTATTTATATTTATTTATTATTTATTAATAGTGACTCAGTTTCTTGCGCTGCTTCATCTCAGCACTGGCCTGTGGTAGGGTTGATACTGGGACGTGTTAAAGTGCGTTTTAAAAGCCTACTTGCAAAAATAAAATGAATTTAATGGATTTAAGCCGGTATCTATGTTGTCCCGAAGAGGTGGCAGGGAAAGCCACCTTATTGTTATTTTGTACTTACATTTTTTTTTCTCAATATTTGCATGACTAATTAAGTCAACATGTGGACATGCCAATTGTAATAATTATAATAATATCTTGTAAAACCATGTAAAAGCAAATAAATATTTCTGATTTCTGATTTCTGAAAAAAGCTCTGCGAGTATTTGGGACGTTTATTATAAGAACCCTGAAAAGTGCCTACAGACTAATAATGAATTTGATTTTGATAAATTGATTTTTACTGGCGGTTGACCTAGGCTAAACTATGACGTTAAGACGTGAACTTAATGGACTGACAATTTATTGACTTCTAAGCTACGAAAAGTTACATTTTACAGCAAGAGATGGTCCAAAAAATACCCAGATCGATTAGAACTAAATTATGGGTATCCATTGATTTCGACATTGAGGTTTCGGTAGGGTAAAATGTGAATTATGAAACTACTGATAGACCAGAGTCCTGTTAGAACAGTTTATTTTCAGATGTGTAAACAAACTTTCTTGTATCCCTTTATCCTTAATTCGTTATTAGTAAAACTAACTTTATTATTTATATTTGCCCACAGGGTGACAAAGTGCGCAAACTCAAAGCGTCGACCAAAGACAAGGCGGTGTGGCAACCAGAAGTGAACATTCTACTGGATCTGAAGAAACAACTCGCCAGTTTGCAAGTCAAATAAAACAACATAACAATACATTTCATCTATAAATATCCATTTCAAAAACACATTAGAAAAATTTAGGAAAACCCATAAGTGATCCAGTTATTTTTATGGCCAATCTGTGTTTCCATGGCCGTAAGTTCGTAACTATCATAAAAAGCTACATGACTACGTTTGGCGGAAAAAAGTGCTAGGAAGCGCTTGTAAGAAAAATGGCGATCACTAAGGCAGATCATTTATTTTTTTAGCATTGCCAGCGCTTCACCTATTGCAGTAATTTGTATTCAAACAGAAATAGATGTACAGGGTGTGTCAAATTGATAGCAATTGCGATACACAGTGTGTTTTATGTTGGTCAACCATAATTTATTGATTAAATGTATTTTAGTTACTTTTAAAACAGATCTACTATAGGTATATTTTATTTATGAAAGACAATCTATTGAATAGATGTTTATTTATGCATTTTTGTATTATTGTTTCGAGCCGGTGTAATATTTTTTTCCTTGTTTGATGTTAAACATCATTATCAATAGGCTTGTCACAAGTATGTACAAAGTGATCTAGTTAACTGCACACCTGGCAGCAGTGACGTCACATCGACGCTTTATTACGGACGGAGCAAACGTGGCGTGGGAGAGGTCGCGTTCCAGCTAGGTGCACAGTAAACTAGATGAGTTTGTAAGCACCTTTAATATCCTGTGGTGTTTCTTTTACCGATTTGTGTGTTCAGTGTACTGACGAGTATTAGTGAGAAGTCTGCTATTTATTGTGTAGAGGGCATAAGGATGGGGCCGTATCCATACTTAATTTAAGAATTATTTTTATTAACCTACATTTAATATTTATGTATTAGGGACGTTGAGGTGCACTCTGTATAAATTCTTTCAGGGATTTATTTAAGTAGTAGGTAATTCCATAATGTAAAAGCGTAATTTTGTATTTGGATACGGTATGATATGTTACTTAAGGGCAGAGTACAATGTGAAACGAGATTGAATTTGCAATATACGTATTTATAGTATGCTTTGTTTTATTTTGAACCGAATATTCGATAATTTATTAACCTAGATTGAGTTTATAGTTTTCTAAACTTTCTTACCCCATTATTTTATCGATCTTCATGCATTGGCAAAAGCACAGTGTCTCATCTCCCATTGGGCCACTGCCTAAAATAAAAAAAATACAATCAATCGGTAAAATAGCAGAGCGGAACGCTTTGTTTTTTGTCAACGTCAGAAATCTGTCAAAATGCGTAAATTATTTTCGTGATTTGTTTTTGAATTAAAATTAATTCTAATTACGTTTAACCATGGATATCACAACAAATATAAACCTAGAAAAAATATGCAGGACTTGCTTGCTTGAGTCCCCGCATATGGTGGCTCTGTCGACAAAAATGGAAGGTAACAATCGGACTCTGTACGATGTGTTGATTTTCGTTCTCAATAATAACGTTGCTATCGGTGAGAAGCTTCCAAAGCAGATTTGTGGAGACTGTGAGATGCAGTTGTTCCGTGTTGAGGAGTTTAAGAGGCGCTGCAATGAGTCAGAGAACATTTTGAAGGAGTTAGTCGACGCCAGCCAGTCTGGCCCATCGCAACTTATAAAGTTGGAATCAACCTCTAAAATAGAGAAGCAGGCGACGTTCGAGCACTTTTTAGAACTTAACCCTATTAATGTGATAGATTCTCTAAAGGAAGACTCAACAGGAATGATACTTGAGCCTGTAAAAGTAGATTCTAAGGCTGATGTAAAAGCTGCTATCAAAGAAGAGTTTTCTGACTTTTCCGATGATTTAGATGATGATAATTATGACGACAATAGCCAAAATATAACGGAGAACAAGAATTACCACTGTCCGTGCGGTGAAAGCTTTACAGAATTGGACCAATATCAAAAACATATGGACAGCGAAAAGTGTTCGAAAACATCGAAATCTGACCTTTTACTCATACCAGTCAAATGTGGACAGTGTAACCTAGTATTTAAAAACTCTGAAGACTTCAAAAGACACGTAAAAACTCATATCAAACCGAATTCCAAGTATTTCCAATGTAAATTATGTAAAAAGAAATTCACTAAGAAATGTAATCTCCAAACCCATTTAGATAACAAAGTCTGCTCCAAACCAGTAACGGTTAAGAAAGAAAAGCAAAAAGTCAAAGAAAAACCTACAAACAGTGTGTTAACGTTCATTCCGATAAAGTGTGAGCAATGTAACATAGTTTTTAAGAACATGAAAACCTTTAAAACTCATACTTTAACCCACAAAAGTGCGCCAGAGTTCTTCCAATGTTCGCAATGCATGAGGAAGTTCAAAAAGAAATCATCACTTATTACGCACATGAGAAATCATGAGGAAAGAGACAATGTTAAATACATTTGTGATATTTGCAAACGTGAATTCAAGTATCAAGCGCATCTTGACAATCACAATCTATCGGAGCATAGTAAGAAAAATCTCATTCAAATGCAAGTTTTTCCATTAGAGACGAACAATATTAATGATAAGAAGCACCAGTGTAAGCTTTGTAGTAAAGCGTTCAATATGCAGTCAACGTTGACGGATCATATGCGGACTCATACTGGAGAGAAACCATTCTTGTGTTCGGTGTGCGGTCGAGGATTCACACAGAAGACCAATCTTGCTCAGCACATGCGAAGGCATTTAGGATTGAAGCCTTTTAAATGCACGGAATGTGAAAGAGGGTACGTAATACTTAGAATTATTGCTTGATCGTGATTGTGAATGTAAGACATTAATTGATTGGATATCAAAGCCAGGTCTCATCTATCAATAAAGAAAATGAGCTAATCTTCTTTCCACTGTTATTGACAGCCTTGTGAATTGCGTACCGAACTGCTAAATGTGCAGGTTGCGGTTTTGATCCTCGCTAATGCAAAAAAAGTAATACCTCATCAACACTTACTTGCTACGACACGCGCCAATGTCGTTCGAGCATGTAATATGTCTTTCGCGTTAGACGCAGACCATCCCATTCGGATTTCGTCACGAATTAAAAAACAGTTCCATTCACAAAATGCTCACATTCAGATAAATCATTTTTGACGAATAATTCAACTTCTAGGTTGAAAAGGTACTATTTTGCGAATGGGAACGAATACGAAGGGGACGTAATGCCAACGGGACCGAAATGGGACCGTTTTTTAATTCGTGACGGAATGAAATGCGAATGGGATGGTCTGCGTCAAACCCTCTTTCGCGCAAGCTTACCAGAACCATAAAAATCCTATTTTACAGTCAATCGAAAACTAATTGATGTCATATACAAGCTTTGCTTAGTTTGGGACTAGAGGCGCAGTGTAAAAATGTCCAACGATATATTATTATGTTTGTACGCTTTGGAGGTTTTGGAGCTCATGGGTCAAAAGTGACCCGGTCCTTTATAAGGCTTGCGTGGGGATACAGATCCAACACGTAGAGGCCGTTTTAAGCGCAAAGTAATCGACAAAAGTGAAAGTGGTGCATGCTGGATCTAGTCTCTGACTATATCATGGGATGTAGCCAGAGACCATCCCCAGCCTGTGCAGAGGACCTATTGCAGTTATTGGAGAATGGACTATTATAATATTATATACTCAATTTCTTACTTCTGGATTTCCAGGTTCGTATCAAAAGGCGAATTAGACGCGCACACCCGTAAGCATTCAGGAGCTCATCCCTTCGTATGCGACGAGTGTGGCAACGGGTTTACAACGTCGAGTTCGTTGAGGAAACATAAGCGAGTCCATACTGGGGAGCGGCCGTATGCCTGCGATCTGTGTCCCATGAAGTTTGCTGCCTCAGGTACATAACTAATCTTGATCAATCATTATAATCATACCCTAAGGCTATAAATGCCGTAGGCGTCACCATGCTTACTATAGAAATAAACTTTTGTGGTTTTTTATAGACCCCTATGTGGTTTTGATTACTTTTGAAACAGCATCGTACGCGACTACATCTTTCGAGACCATAAGCAATCGGAACTAAGCAGTAGAAAAAAAATTCGCTACAGCTTTCGTTGACAGTGGTATTCGAAACTACGTAGGGCCCCTTTTAGACGTTGACGTCAGCGTATGGCATATGACGTCGATAGGAACATTTGATGCTGACGTCGCACGCCACGTATAGCGTTTAATAGGATACCGTAGCCTAAAAAGGATTCTCCAAAGCATCCCTCTAATCCACCTTGATCAACGGGTTCACCACGTCGAGTTCGTTGAAGAAACACAAGCGGGGTCCATACTGGGGAGCGGCCGTATGCCTGCGATCTGTGCCCCATGAAGTTTGCTGCCTCAGGTAATTGAAAGAAAAGTAGTTTGTTTTCTGTAAACAGGCTTTTTATAGCACGTTTATAAATCCCAGTATAACTGGTATAACTTACCACATCATCATCATCATAGTTAGGACGTCTACTGCTGAACATATGCCTCCCCCAATGATTTCCAGATTGGCCAACAGTGGCCTGCATCCAGTGTCTTCCTGCTACCTTTATTTTAATAAACATTAGAGGTTCTAAATTTGTTTCATCTTAAACTAGATTGATCCTCCGAGTCGGACACAAAATCAAATTATTTATTTGATATGTTCGTTCGTCCCCTAAATCAGTATAGGATTCTCTTAAGCTTGTAAAGGTACCCTAAACCTTAAGTTTCTTAAGTCCTTGAATCCACGAGCAGTGCCGTAACTAGGGCGGTGCCAGCGGTGCCCAGGCACAGGGCGCAGACCCTGGAGGGGCGCAGAAATGACCAGACCAAGCATTTTTCAAGGGCGCAGTTTTGAAAGCTCGCACCGGGCGCATAAAAGGCTAGTTACGGCACTGTCCACGAGTGCGGCAACGGGTTCACCACGTCGAGTTCGTTAAGGAAACATAAGCGGGTCCATACTGGGGAGCGACCGTATGCCTGCGATCTGTGCCCTATGAAGTTTGCTGCCTCAGGTAATACTAACGACCAATCATATTATCATGCCCTAAGCCTAAGTTGCACCACCTTAACTTTAACCGTAACTATAACTTTATCCGGTGTTTTTGTATGGAGTTTGACAGACTTTATTACATTTGGTATTGTTAAAGTAAGATGGTGCAAAACAGCCTATGGCTTTGGTCTCCTATAAACGCCGTACGCGACTACATCTTTGGAGACTATGCAGTAGAAAAAAAATTCGCTACAGCTTTTGTCGCAATCGAAACAAGAGTTATTCGGAACTACATAGGGCCCCTTTTAGACGTTGACGTCGGCGTATGGCATATGACGTCGATAGGAACATTTGATGTTGACGTCGCACGCCGCGTATAGCGTTTAATAGGAGACCGTAGCGTAGCCTAAATAGGATTCTCCAAAGCATTCCTGTAATCCACCTTGATCAACGGGTTCACCACGTCGAGTTCGTTGAGGAAACATAAGTGGGTCCATACTGGGGAGCGGCCGTATGCCTGCGATCTGTGCCCCATGAAGTTTGCTGCCTCCGGTACATCTAATCTTGACCAATCATTATCATGCCCTAAGCCTGAGTTGCACCACCTTTAACAGTAACTATAACTTTATCCGGTGTTTTTGTATGGAGTTTGACAGACTTTTTATTACATTTGGTATTTTTAAAGTAAGATGGTGCAACACAATGTATTTTTCTTTCTTTCTTTCTTTACTACATCGAGTTCGTTGAGGGAACACAAACTGGTCCATACTACCTGCACAGATCGCAGGATCTGTGCCCCATGAAGTTTGCTGCCTCAGGTAAGACGTGACTATTCCCACCTCTCGTTCCCACCGCTGCAACTCCTGTGTAGCCAGGATCTACAGCTTGACCGCCAACAACCCAACCAGTGAAGGACAAGTTTGTCCCGGGCCCTCCCTGGGGAAAGGTGAACTGTCATTGGACCTGCAATTAATTATTAATTCCATCAAGTAATGATCAGGCCGAAGGTGGAAGCGAGCTTCACCTGGAATCCTCAACCAAAGAGGAACTGGGTTACCTCAATTTCCCACAAACAAATTACAAACCTAAAACTGATTTGTATTTTTTCCAGGTACCCTAAAAAGCCACAGACGAACGCACACCGGTGAAAAACCTTACCAGTGTTCATACTGCGAGAAAGCCTTCGTCCAGCGTCAAGATCTGGTCTCCCACATACGGTGCCACACCGGAGAGAGGCCATTTGTCTGTGTGCACTGCGGTCAAGCATTCAGGAAGCCTTCTGCTTTAAAGGCACATGCGAAGACACACAAGCAACCGATGCAGCCCGGACCGATGATGGCCTTGCAAGGTACTGGGTAGCAGGATAAATAATGTTTGAAGTTTATCTGACAGATAAGTTCCTGATAGGCTTGATGGGTAGCGAGAGCCGATTTTGGATTTATAGTGCAAGTTAATCTGGCTGATAAGTACCTGATAGGCTTTATCAGCAAGTGCTGCAATGGTTCTGGATAGTTTGTGTGATCAACGTTTGAAGTGTATCTGACAGATAAGTTCCTGATAGGCTTTAACAGCAAGTGCTGCAAAGAAGTTATCTCACTTAACTTGAGATTTATGTGACAGTTAAGTCCCTGATAAGCTTTATCAGCAAGTTCTGCAAAGGTTCTTGATGAAGTATGTGAAAGTTCTCACTTGTAACTTGAGATTTATCTGACAGATAAGGTACTGGGTAGCAGGAATAACATAATTTACAATTTAACGGGAGAAAGTTATTTGGGGTTAAATCCAAGCGCCTGATGCAACGGTTTTGGATAAAGTTTTAGATTGTCATCTGATTTGAAGTTTATCTGACAGACAAGCTCCTGATAGGCTTTATCAAAAAGATAGACCCTTTAAATACTTTTCTATAGATTAAACGCTGACTGATTGAAATCCAGTTGAAAATTTAAACTCATCATCCACTGATGGTTAGAACAGTCATAAGGTAGTCGTAGGATTATTTTAACTAAAAAATCATGATTACAAAAGAATTCTATACCATATTTTCGCTGAATTTTCTTACTTTACTGTAGTGATAAAAGATAAATCTATGAACAATATTTTACTGTATTATTAGTGTTAATAACTCGATATGCCACAGATTTAGAAAATGGTGCTTTACATTATTTGGAGGGCACGTTAAGTCATTTATGCCTTATTACGTTACATTAAGATTAAATTTACGATAAAATAAATAGTCACATAATACACTGTCCCCACCACTTTTTTTTGTATCTTTAGCCAATAAAAATCCTAACCTGGAATCTTGTACATTGACCGAACACTTGTAAGCAATTTGTGTTGCTAGTATCTATTGCAAATAAATCACAACCAATGAAAAGAAAAACAGTGTGTTTCGGCTTAAAATATTGTGTTTGTACAGTCGCAGAATGAAAAGGTTCGTCACCTTAGTGTCGGTTTTCGCTTGCACTAGGTACTGTAAGAGTCAAACCTGCCAACATAACAGTGCAAGAAACAATGCTGCTAACATTTAAATAAATATGACGTTTGCTAACGAATAAGGTTTTGCTTGTTTATTTTTCTATCTCATCAGTGCAATGCAATGATGACATTGACCAATTGACAATAGTTTTTTTTTTATTTAATAGAAATAATAATGGCAGGTTGAACCAACAAGAAGGTTTAGTTTATCAATCATAATAATCTTCTTGACAAGATAAATCGTCAAACAACTTTGATCAATAATTTTGAACTTTACTGACGAACAGTTAAAGGTTATTTTCTCTAACTCGAGATTATTCTGTAACATAGTTTCAAAAGGTAATAAGTGTTCGCGATTCGTTGAAGGAATCAATTTGAAAACTGACGAACCTTTTCATTCCGTGACTGTACATGTCCACTTATATTATGGTACCTATATTTTTTAGAAAGCCGTAATTATAAATAATCGATTAATTAACTAAAACATTGACATATTATATTTTACAATAAAGCAGACATAAAAAAATCAACTAATTTATTATTTTTATTTTATTGTGTACAATGCTAAGTATGTGCTATATTTTGTAGTTTATAATGTAATTTTATTGTCGAGCAAAATTTTGAATTTAAGATGATAATGATTGAATGAATGTGTATTTTTAGTTTTTAAGAATATTATCAATAATATACACTCGTGTATTCAAATCATATATTTGTTTTATTTACTTCTTTAAAAATGACAAAATGATTCATCATATTTTAGAAATATTTTTAAGTAAGTAAAGAAACAACAAGAATTCATATAACAAACTTTATTTATCAATATTTATATAATACAGTGCTGAATTACATTGTAGACGTTTAGAACTATACTAGAAAACTGAAATTAGGCAATAAATAATGTTCATAAATATTTAAATCTTATTTCGTCGGATTTTTTCATTGAATATATCAACATAATAATATTCTATATACAGACATCAAGTTAATTAATATCATAAGAAGTTGTAGTGCAAGCTACAAAAATGATGTATGTCGTTGTACAGTCATTTAGTTCGAGACAGCTAGTGGCCAAAAAGTAGACAAAACAAACTTATTCCAATGAGGGCTATCGTTTTAGCGCTCACCAGTTGGCGCCACTGTAGAGTAAGGTCCTGTCACTTGCTAGTCGCGAAGACATTGGCGCCAACTGGTGAGCGCTAAAGTGGTAGGAGGACTATCGCATTTGCCCTCATCAAGATGGCGCCACTGTAGAGTAAGGTCCTGTCAATCGCCAGTGGCGCCAACAGTTAAGCATATAAAAGATTGCCCTCATTGTAACAAAGACGTGTTGCGAACTTTTTGGCTACTTTGGGTGTCATGAACTATTTGACGGCACCTCAGTTAACAGATGAACAACAGTCGCTCTTATTTCATGGAGAATAAGGTTTATTTCCCAAATATCTTCATATCAACTCACAACTTAGTTATTTTAATTAAACCATACATACAGGGTGAAAATATGCTCCATAAAATTAAATACATAGTCGTAATAATACAGGGTGTTTGGCGCATCGTGTGCCAAAATAATTTGGCGGATAGAATGGGTCATTACCTATATTTTCAGCCCCCATAACACGTTCCATGCCAGGCGGCTACTTTTAAATTAATTTTTTTAGTAATTTCACCAAAATACCCAAATCGCATCATTTAATTTCGATTTAAAAAAAAAACTACTAGGCGTAGCTTCAAAGTAAATATTTTGTTTTGACATGCATTGATGTAGGGTTGCATCAAATCTAAATTTACTGGCAAATATCATCTAGTTTTTTTTTAATTCAGCTTTGAAATTTTCCGAAAAGTTAAAAATGGACTGAACATTTAAGTTTACATGGCTATAAAAAAATAAATAGAAGAGATAGCGATCTTCGGATTTTATCAAAACTTCTCTAGTCTATCCCCATTCAAACGGTATACTAATCTTATTTAAATAATAACAATAACTTCACAAATTCCTTAAATTAGTGCATTGACTCTACTCGGACTGATTTGCGAAATTTGTGTTTATAGCCCCTTTTTGTGTGAATAGCACGTTATTAAACACCTAACAGGTAAAAATTATTTATCTTATGCAATGTAAAAACTATAAACACAAATTTCGCAAATCAGTCCGAGTAGAGTCAATGCACTAATTTAAGGAATTTGTGAAGTTATTGTTATTATTTAAATAAGATTAGTATACCGTTTGAATGGGGATAGACTAGAGAAGTTTTGATAAAATCCGAAGATCGCTATCTCTTCTATTTATTTTTTTATAGCCATGTAAACTTAAATGTTCAGTCCATTTTTAACTTTTCGGAAAACTTCAAAGCTGAATTAAAAAAAAACTAGATGATATTTGCCAGTAAATTTAGATTTGATGCAACCCTACATCAATGCACGTCAAAACAAAATATTTACTTTGAAGCTACGCCTAGTAGTTTTTTTTTAAATCGAAATTAAATGATGCGATTTGGGTATTTTGGTGAAATTACTAAAAAAATTGATATAAAAGTAGCCGCCTGGCATGGAACGTGTTATGGGGGCTGAAAATATAGGAAATGACCCATTCTATCTGCCAAATCATTTTGGCACACGATGCGCCAAACACCCTGTATTTTTAGGTTTACAATTCTTATTTCAGATTTCAATATAGTAAAGCCATATTTTCACCTAAGTCATAAATCATTCTGAAAACCTGTCGAAAGGTTCTAACTTACTATTATATTATCCAAACACAAATAAGTTTTTATAGATCGTTTCATCCACTCGGACGCGCTCCACCATTCTTCCGCGAATGTTTGAGTGTTATCGGTACACGCTAAATGCTCCATGAGTGCACACGCACACTACAGTAATGCCTTACGGCTTGCTCGGACCACACTCCCCGCACCCCGCGCGACCAAGACCAAGTGGTGGGGCGCGTCTTTGTGGATGAAACGATCTATACTGTAGCACCAACTCATCGGAATGAAAAGAATCCAAACGCCCCTTGGATCAATTACGGAAAAAATAATTTAATGGGCTCGTATTTTGTAGTCGAACCATTCGATTATACAATTTACCGATTGATATGATCGTATGCCATTTCAATTTGTTTTTGTTATAGTAAATTTTGACATGTACCTAACTTTTTTCATGCAATCTTTTGTTTTAACATACCTACATAATATATTATGCAATTTTTATTTAACACCATTTCAATCCAGAATCTTATCCTAATTTATCAATGTTTTGGAAAACAATATGGCTGTAAGAAATTAATATCTAAAAGCGCTAAATGATTTAATTTAAAAAATTTAAATCCTTATCAACATGATATCATTTAACAAGCAAAATTAAGATGTTTTTAAATAAATAGTGGAAATTAACAATTAACATTAAAATATAAGTATCCATTGTAGAAGTCATTACTAACAACTATGATTAAAATCGTCCATCAAAATTTCATCTATCTACTTGGTGGGACCTCTTACGAAGTTTTGCCCCAGAAACCAAAGACTAAAATACATTAAATACTTTTTTAGCATTGAGGTGACCATAGATAGATGATAGTACTTTTTATAGTTTGATTCGTGCGAGTAAAATGTCATTAGAGCTGTCATTATTTGACATTTTGATTGTTTATCTGTGGTGTCGGCCATCTTTGTTGGCTACGTCACATCTGTCACTTTACTCGCTCGAATAAAACTGAGCTATAGAATAAATACTTGCAATGATACAGGGTGGATGTGCAATTATCTGTTATACAACATAAGGACAGTTTGACAAAAAATCGACAGCAAGTTTTTATATTTTGATTTAGTTTAAAGAATGATTTCTGTATAGTGAGTGCCCAGTCTCATTAAAAAAAAATAAGAGATAATTTAACAACTGCCAGCAATTTAAAAAAAAGCAAATTGTCTTAAAAACACAGTAGAAAGATTAAATTTTTTGTCAAACTGTCCCTTACAGAAAACACAACTCTTTCTATCTCTCACCATTCAAAGTGTTAAAATCGACACCCTGTATTACACACTTGAGATGACATCCATCTTATTGACAAACCTACATCCATAGACAGGGGAAAGAGGGGGCAGGGGAGTGCATTTGTTCTTTAGAAATAGTAAACCTTACGTCTTATTTTCGTCCTTATTGGGTCATATTCATTAATCGCTCGATATAAAGTGTTTCGGTCTGATCAAAGACAATCTTACATTTTGACCAGGCTCAAAAAAAAAGACATTGGTTTTCAACTGTATTTTCACAGCATACAGTTCAAATTGTGGGCTCAATGGCCACTAGAGCCTGGTTAAGGGTTAAAGAAGCATATCACGTTCTTAATCTACTACAGAAAATAGTTCCCCGAACGGTGGCCCTAGAGTATGCTTTACAGAAATCTGCAACATTAATGAACATGAGCCATTATTAAAAATAAATAGGTGGAATTGTGTAAAGCAATCGTAATCATTTGACAGTTCATAACGTACGATGAAGTCAGTTAAACAAAGCGTTTGACAGAATAATCGTACGTTATGAACTGTCAAATGATAACGATTGCCTTACACAATTTCACCTGTCTCCCCTGTCCCCCAGAATGCCCTCCCATGGCAATGAGGGCTATCGTTTTAGCGCTCACCAGTTAGCGCCACACACTGTAGAGTAAGGTCCTGTCACTTGCTAGTAGCGAAGACAGTGGCACCAACTGGTGAGCGCGAAAGTGGTAGAAGGACTATCGCATTTGCACTCATCAAGATGGCGCCACTGTAGAGTAAAGTCCTGTCAATCGCCAGGGGTGCCAACTGTTAAGTATAAAAACGATAGCCCTCATTCAGCCCTGATCCAGCCATTAGTGTCTAAATAAATCCCCCTTTAGGCCACAATGCCTCCCAACAAAAACCTCCAAACCCCTACATTTGCTGCGTGGAATTCCCGTTCCAAGTGTTATTATCATCATCCGCCGCTCTCTCCCCGGGAAGTCTATGAATATTCCCCCTCCTACGCAAGCCGGGAGGGGGGGAGGCCCGAGGGGGTTGACTTGGGGTAGTGGGGGGAGGGGGAGCGAATAGACGCGCGCGGATCCAGTTGAAGAGTTGCTGTGAGGGCGCCAGGATGAATGAGGTGATGAACTGGGTGAAGATCGCTGGAAAAGATTGAAGAATTAGAAAATGCTGCAAGATTTTGAAGGTAAGAAAATACTCTATGAACATCATTATTATCGTTATTTAATCTTATTGCAGAAGCTTGACCTCCTCTTTTTTATATTTTTTATGCGCATTTTTTGTAATTTTTTGATTGTATCTTAATTGAATGCTACTTCTTAGTCTAGAGGCCGAATTAAAAATATAATCGATCGTTTAAATCGAACTGCTCCCTATTTCTTTTCATTATGTTGCGGGTGCAATGACAGTTTAACTTTCCCCCGGGACAAACTTAACCTTCACTGATTGGCTTATTGGCGGTCAAGTTGTAGATCCTGGCTGCACAGGAGTTGCAGCGGTGGGAATAAGCCCTTATACAACTGATATCTTTATCGGTCGCCGTAGTGACCAAAGACACCGACTATCTGTAGCGACCATAGAAACTCACAGACTAGCTGTAGTGACCATAAACACTTACCGACTATAGACGCGACGGGCGAGGGTCGCTGTAGTAACCATAGACACTCACCGACTAGCTGCAGCGACCATAGACACCGACTAGCTGCAGCGACCATAGACACTCACCGACTATGGACGCGACCGACTAGCTGTAGCGACCATAGACACCGACTAGCTGCAGCGACCATAGACACTCACCGACTAGCTGCAGCGACCATAGACACTCACCGACTATGGACGCGACCGACTAGCTGTGGTGACCATAGACACTCACCGACTATGGACGCGACCGACTAGCTGTGGTGACCATAGACACTCACCGACTATAGACGCGACCGACTAGCTGTGGTGACCATAGACACTCACCGACTATAGACGCGACCGACTAGCTGTGGTGACCATAGACACTCACCGACTATAGACGCGACCGACTAGCTGTGGTGACCATAGACACTCACCGACTATAGACGCGACCGACTAGCTGTGGTGACCATAGACACTCACCGACTATAGACGCGACCGACTAGCTGTGGTGACCATAGACACTCACCGACTATAGACGCGACCGACTAGCTGTGGTGACCATAGACACTCACCGACTATAGACGCGACCGACTAGCTGTGGTGACCATAGACACTCACCGACTATAGACGCGACCGACTAGCTGTGGTGACCATAGACACTCACCGACTATAGACGCGACCGACTAGCTGTGGTGACCATAGACACTCACCGACTATAGACGCGACCGACTAGCTGTGGTGACCATAGACACTCACCGACTATAGACGCGACCGACTAGCTGTGGTGACCATGGACACTCACCGACTATAGACGCGACCGACTAGCTGTGGTGACCATAGACACTCACCGACTATAGACGCGACCGACTAGCTGTGGTGACCATAGACACTTTTTTTTCTATCCACAACGAGGTATCTCTTGGGCTGTATCTCACCTGATGGTAAGTGACGATCAGGCCGAAGGTGGAAGCGAGCTTCACCCGGAATCCTCAACCACGGAGGAACTGGCTATCTTACCTCTAACTGCCGGAACACAACAATGCTGTTAACATTGTTGTTATGGCGACAGACTTAGGTAGATGGTGGTAGCCAGCCAGGCGGACTTGGAACAAGCCCTACCACCAACCAAACCGAAAAAGTCTGCCCCTACTGGGAATCGGACCCGGGTCCTCCGCGTCTGAAGCAGGTGGTCTTACCACTAGACCACAGAGGCGGTTAAACCACAGAATAATAATAAGTACTACGTACAGAAGTTTTACTTCGCGAAAGTATTTAAAAAATGTATGCTCAATGTCATCCCAACTAATCCCAACTAATATTATAAATGCGAAAGTAACTCTGTCTGTCTGTCTGTCTGTCTGTCTGTCTGTCTGTCTGTCTGTCTGTCTGTCTGTCTGTCTGTCTGTTACGCTTTCCCGCTTAAACCTCGCAACCGATTTTGATGAAATTTGGCATAGAGATAGTTTGAGTCCCGGGAAAGAACATAGGATAGCTTTTATCCCGGTTTTTGAAACAGGGACGCGCGCGATAAAGTTTTTCTGTGACAGACAAAATTCCACGCGGGCGAAGCCGCGGGCGGAAAGCTAGTTAACAATATGGTGTAATTTAGCCTGTCTCAAGAGTCAAGCACCATTTTGTTGACAAACGTCAGTGATCGGCACTGCGCCGAAGCTATAGGGCTGACTTCGGTAAAATGATGTGACGTGAGGTGCCAAACTGCGGAAAATGGCGGAGGAAATACATGAACACCGACTAGCTGCAGCGACCATAGACACTCACCGACTAGCTGCAGCGACCATAGACACTCACCGACTAGCTGCAGCGACCATAGACACTCACCGACTAGCTGCAGCGACCATAGACACTCACCGACTAGCCATAGACACTCACCGACTAGCCATAGACACTCACCGACTAGCCATAGACACTCACCGACTAGCCATAGACACTCACCGACTAGCCATAGACACTCACCGACTAGCCATAGACACTCACCGACTAGCCATAGACACTCACCGACTATAGACGCGACGGGCGAGGGCGCGGCGACCTGTGTGGGCGCACGCCTGGGCAGCACTAGTAAGGCGGCGGACGGCGCTAGTTCCAGTTGCCGCAGCGTGGCGCTAGGGTCGCTTAGTTCGCGGCGAGGAAACGCCGTCCAGAGGGAGAAGTTGGACGCCGACATCTGATTGGACAAAATATAGCAATTAAATATTTATTTGCATCCCATTTAGTCTTAAGCCATGTATTTCTCAGGCAACATTTGTTGATAAACTGTTTATGACTAGTGTGAAACAAGTTTACCATAAACACAGGTTTCTGAAACGTGGCCGTCCACACTTGCTCTCCACTCATAACATGTATCATAAACAATGTTTCATGTCATAAAACCTATGTTTATGGACTGTTTATAAACTGTTTACAGAGATGATGAAACATTGTTTATGAACAGTGTTTATCAACAAATGTTGCCTGATGAATACATGGCTTTATTCGCATCCCATTCAGCCTTTTTTGCGTCCCATCCATTTAGATTTATTTGTATCCCATTTAGCCTTATTCACATCCCTTTCAGCCTTTTTCGGGTCCCATTTAGATTTATTTGTATCCCATTTAACCGTATTCGCATCTCATTATTTAATACCTGTTTGCATTCCATGGACTTTCCATTGCTTCTCATGAACCTCGAATTGTGTTTTTAATCCACAATTAAATTTCTTGTGATGTATTCTTTCTTGCATCCTTTTTATACACCCTCTCCCCCCATTTGCATACCAGAAACGGATGACATTTTGCAAAACGATTGTAAGCAATAAATAACGCTCTTAGGAAAAAATTGGATCTATTGACGGTGTAATTTAGGTTCTCGGGAGGTTTACTCCCAATATTTAAAATGATGATAAAGGTGACAACAAACCGTGATTTGTCATTTGGACAAATAGTTTCATCCACTCGGACGCGCGCCACCAATGTTTGGTCCCGGTCGCGCGGGGTGCGGGGAGTGTGGTCCGAGCAAGCCGTAAGGCATTACTGTAGTGTGCGTGTGCACTCATGGAGCATTTAGCGTGTACCGATAACACTCACACATTAGCGGAAGAATGGTGGGGCGCGTCTTCGTGGATGTAACGATCCATTGTATAAACACTGTTGGTATGATAACATACCTGCAAGTTGTCTGCGATATGTTGCTGCAAAGTCGCCAGCGTGTCGTCAGCCGCAAAGTGCGCGGTGTGCGAGCGACCGTCCGGCAGTTTGAACTGAGGCTTACCTCCCTCAGAAGACTACCATTGTTTAAACGATGATATTCCTAAAGAATTGTTGGTAGACTTCCTTCCCTTACTCACTAGACTGCCATCGATTGCAAGGAGCCTCATTTTTGCATCCCATGGGTCTTTCCTTACATCCCCATGCACCTTTTATTATAAATAAATAAATAAATAAATATCCTTGGACATTTTACACTACGCCGCTAGCCCCAAACTAAGCAAAGCTTGTACTATGGGTACTAGACAACGGATATAAACATACTTAAATACTTCTTTTTTTGTAAATACATACATATTATACATAGAAAACACCCAGTCCAATACAAACAAATATGTTCATGCACACAAATGTTTGTACTGTGCGGGAATCGAACCCGCAACCTCCGGAATAGTAGTCCGATTCGAACCACTACACCAAACGGCCGACTAACGGCATCCTATTAACTCCATATGCATCCTACGGACCCCATTTGCATCCTATGGAATTCAAATTGTTTATGCTTCCAGAAGGCTGGAGGTGGATTTGACTCTTTTTAGAGAGTGGTCCGTTGTTTGGACGCGAATAGACTATGGACTGGATTATACGCTATTGGTATAAAAACTCATAACTCATTTATTTTTGCAAATAGGCTTTTAAAAAGCACTTTTACACGTCCCAGTATTAATCCTACCACTATTTATACTATAATAACTGACCTGCAAGTTATAGCGAGCTTACCATTGCGGTTAAATTAAAAAATCCGGAATCACAAGAACCCAGGGGCTTTGTCCTAAACTGGATGTCTTTATTCATCATATCATATCATCATATGCGCGAAGCCACAACAAGGGCTCTCGCGGAAGACCAGTTTCTTGACATGCCCTTCCGAGCACGTCAGGATAAATGCTGAGCTGGGAGCCTATTGACACAGTGGTCCACTATTTTCTTTATTCGTTTTGTGTTGTTATTGTATATGATTTGTGCTTACTGTGTTCAATAAATTTTATTTCTTTCTTTCTTTAAGCTGGGATAGAAGGAAGATAGAAAGTGAGTCTCACCTGCAAGTTGTCTGCGATATGTTGCTGCAGTGTTGCCAGCGTGTCGTCAGCCGCAAAGTGCGCGGTGTGCGAGCGACCGTCCGGCAGTTTGAACTGAGGCTTACTTCCCTCAGAGGACTACATTGACTAAATTAATGATGATGACGTAACTGGTCTTGAGATGCCTACTTCCCTGAGTGGACTATGATTATCTTATATTGATGATGATGAAAATTATGATGTATTTGACCTACAAATTCTTAGAAGGTATCCAATTTCCATTTTAAACAATGATAGTCATACGCCCGTATTCACAAACATTACTATGAGGTCTCATAGTGCGAATGCACGCACAGGATGATATATGAACCAATCACAGAGCTCTATTGAGCGCTGTGCGTTCGATTTTCTGCTTCACTTATGCTATCATCGTTTGTGAATACGCGTGTAAGGCTGAGTTGCACCACACAGCTTTAACGGCAACTACATATGACAGTAACCGGCGCTTTTTGTATGGAGTTTGACAGATTTTTGACGTTTGTCAAAGTTAAAGTAAGATGGTGCAAACCCAGCATATTACTATCATTGTTTAAAAATGTGACCTGTAAATTGTCGCAACGCTTATTTCTAGCAGTGGACTGCCATAATGATGGTGTAGGATGTCAAGAGCCTACGTTTAGCAGTGGCTGTCGAAATTGTGTAGTTGACTTTGTATTTGTTTTGTGTGGTATGTGTAATGATGTATTCACCTGTAAGTTGTCAGCGATATGTTGCTGCAAAGTCGCCAGCGTGTCGTCAGCCGCAAAGTGTGCGGTGTGCGAGCGGCCGTCCGGCAGTTTGAACTGAACGCGAGCGCGGCCCGACCCGTCGCCGGAGGCTGCAAAGGAAAGTGATTAAAAAATCATTAAAAGATTATTTACTTACCGAGGCAAGGCAATACAAGGTTGATGTGAAAATTTCAAGTTTTTATCGAACATGTTAATTTTTGTTGGTGAATGTAAGCGAGACTATGGTTGACAGTTGTTTTGACCGATTTTTTTTTAGTTTTGACCATTTTTTTTTGGCCGAAACTAAAAATTTTTTTAGCCGGAACTTATTTTCGTCACTTTTTTCAATAATCAATAACCATCATTTTACTTTCAATACACTGGCTCCGATATGCGCGAGGGACGTCGCGGGCCTGTCTTTCGACTTAGTCTTGAGCTATGCTATGCTCCAAGATCGTCTGCTGTGCTAGATATTCTCAGACTTCTCGCGAACATGCCAATTGTTTTTTTTGCCGAAAATGACCGAAACCGAAAGTTTAGCAAAAAAGATTGGCCGAAAATTTGTTTTTGGCCGAAGCCATACTTTTTTTGGCCGAAACCAATAACTTTTTCAGCCGAAATCAAACACATTTTTCTCTAACACTTACTGGCTCCGCTTTGCGCGGGGGGAGCGGGCGGCGCCCGTGGCGCCTGGTCACGTGCCCGTCTTTCAGGTCGGTCCTCCGCTATCTGCTCTAGAATCCTTTGTCGTGCTAGATTGTTCTCTAACTTCTCGCGCTTATTATGGACGAAAAAACCAAAAACATTCTTTTGACCGAACATGCCGAAACTGCTTTTTGTGCCGAAATTGGTCTAAGCCAAAACTAGGCCGAAAACATTTTTAAGCTGAACCAAAGATATTTTTTTTTGGCCGAAACCAATTATTTTTCGGCCGAAACAAAATATTTTTTCGGCTGAAACCATACATTTTTTCGGCCGAACCCTAATACTTACTAGCTCCGCTTTGCGCGGGCGGCGCAGGCGGCGCCCGCGGCGCCTGGTCACGGGCCCGTCTTTCAGCGCGGTCCTGTGCTATCTGCTCTAAAATCCTTTGTCTTGCTAGATTGTTCTCGAACTTCTCGCGTTTGCGCTCCTCCTGGAAACAACCAGATTTCATTTAGGGCTGATTTTTCAATCATCAGTTAACTTTTAACTAAAGAATAAACTTGTCATTTTGACATATTTCCCATACTAAAACTGTCAATGTGCCAAACTTATTTTTCAGTTAAAAGTTATCCGACGATTGAAAAATCAGCCCTTAATTAATTAATCATCAGTAGTATGCGCACTACGATAAGCTTTTATTGCGCCATTTTAACGGTTTTACGCGACTAGCCCATATTATTTTGTCGTCTAAAATAACCGAAAAGATTTCTCCACTACAAGAACACGAAACTCTAACACTACCTATAGCAATCCCACACAACACAGATTAAAAGAAAACAATATTCACTGATATAAAAAATCTCTAAGGCTGGGTTGCACCATCTTACTTTAACTTTGACAAACGTCAAAAATCTGTCAAACTCCATACAAAAAACACCGGTTATCGTTAAAGTAGGCGCACACCGTTGATTTTTCGTCGGCCGATAGTTTAGTCGGGCAGTTGATCAGTATGGGCATGTATGGGAGTGCGCACACTACGCCGATTCGATTTGGCCGATACTTCATACAATTTAAAATCGGGCACAACTATCGGCCAACTAAAGATCAACGGTGTGCGCCTACTCTTATAATTACTGTCAAAGTTAGGTGGTGCAACTCAGCCTAAGAGAGTAGTCGCATCTTTACAGGTCATAAAAAATACATCAATTGATTGGATTTGACCACACTCTCGCTGGTCAAACGAGTCGGATGTCCGCATATTTGTTCTTTAGTGGTCTTTTCGACATTGATGGAAAGAGTAAGCTTGAGACATGTGATCTTACCACTAGACCAGTGGTTCTTAACCGGTGGTCCGCGGACCACTGGTGTGGTTACCTTCCAAGTGGTCCACGAAGACATCGTAATAAACAAGTGACGTGACGAGTGGAGTCAATACAACGCAAACGGCCGCACAGTGGGCGAGAAATCGACCTCCTCTTTCATAGGGTTTCGAAAAAAAAAAATTGGTCCTTGACAAGACAGAAATTTTGTAAAATGGTCCCTCGTGACTTAAAGGTTAAGAACCACTGCACTAGACACTGTGGTTTGCAACGGAGGGAAGTCGAACCTTAACTTCGACATCCTCCTATGTTCTTCTGATTAATTTCGTTGCGGGTTCAATGACAGTTTAACTTTCCCCCGGGACAAACTTGACCTTCACTGGTTGTGTTTTTATTGCCGGTCAAGCTGTAGATCCTGACTACACAGGAGTTGCAGCGGTGGGAACGAGGTGGGAATAGTCCCCTTTAGACACTGAGGTGATCATCCGTTAAATTATAGGATCAATGAAACAAACGCAAATTCTTCAACTGGCACATCATCATCATTTCAGCCACAGGACGTCCACTGCTGAACATAGGCCTCCCCCAATGCTTTCCATGTTGATCGATTGGTAGCGGCCTGCGTCCAGCGCTTCCCTGCTACCTTTACGATGTCGTCGGTCCACCTTGTAGGTGGACGTCCCACGCTGCTTTTTCCGTTCCAATTGGCACAAAGGCTTTTATTCTGTCTCTTTCTCACCTGAATCTGCCGTAACTCCTGCTCGGCCTGCCAGTTCTTGAGTTCAGTCATTCCCTGCCCTTGCGAGCGACGTTCTAACTCCTTCTGTTTCTCCAGCTGAAATAACAAGTTGCTATAGAAGAGCCCTTAAAAAGCTAGCGTACTAAATAAGTGAATAATGAAATAGAATGAAATATGAAAATTTGTTTTTTTTTGCCTTTTTATGCTTCAACTACTAAGCTTGAAGACATATAGTTTGAGACCCAGGGAAAACCAGATAAGACAGAATGAATTTAAAAAATCTACTGATGTATAAAAATATCATTTTCGTTTTTTTACTAGATTTGAATTACATTTCATTTTAAATTGATTAAAATCAATATAATCATTGCGTGTTTGACTTCAAAAAGCAAGCAAACAGTTATTTATTTTTCATTTATTTAGGTATATCATATCAAGCAAAACTTTTTTGCATAATAAGTACTAATTGTAAATGTGCTATCGTCTATACTCTATATTATTTACCTCAGCATTCTTCCAATTCAATGAAGCGTTTAGAAAAAATAAAAGAAAATTCACATAATGTACACACGGCCACAGTGTTAAATTATCCATTTCCGTTTTTGCTCTCGCTCTATCAATTGGTGATTCTTTGCGATAGAACGAGATGTCATGACCGGCAATGAGCAGTTAACACTGTTGCCTATAGTACAAATGGGTTATGTATATTATTAAGCATTCAATCCTACTAATATTATAAATGCGACAGTTTGGATGTCTGGATGTTTGTTACTCTTTCACGCAAAAACTACTGAACGGATTTTGTTGAAACTTTACAGTATTATTGTTTGTAACTCAGATTAACATATGGGCTATAATTTATGCCGATCTGTGATACTAAATTTCACGCGGGTGAAGCCGCGGGCAAAAGCTAGTCTAACAATAAACATTTACTGAATACTGTATGAAAGAAAGGGACAGTTCTTACCTCTTTCTCCTTCTGTGCCTTCTCCCGGCGCCTGGCTTCGATCAGCTCCTTAGCTCGTTCCAGCTTCTCTTCCATGCTCGCTGTGCTGTCTTCAGCTGTCGGCTCGGTCTCCATCTGCGACTGTTCAAATAAAATTAATAAATAAGCGTGTGATAGACTAGATTTGATGGATGTGACAATCATATCCACCAGTAATATAAAACTGTTTGTGATTAGACAGTCTCAAGGAAAAGAGTTTTAAGGTGAAAATAGTCTGAAGGTTGACAGAGTCTCAAAGTGAGAAAAGGTCACACAATGGGGAACAGTCTTAAAGTGAATTCAGTGTTAGAGCTCTTCTAATTAAACATTTTGAGACTTGAGACTGTCATTTTAATTCCAACGTCTTTGTCATAGAATTTCCGTGTGCGGTCATGCAAACTATTCCAAACGCATGACAAACGTCCTGCTCAAAATGTCTAATTTGAAAGAGCTCTTAAGAATTGTGTCAAAGTAAGATCTCAACTCTCAAGATTCTCAAGGTAGGACTGGAAACAGACTCAAGTGGTGGAAGTCTCAAGGTGATAACAGGCTCGGTCTTCATCTGTGACTGTTGAAATACTGACGCTATAAGCTTGTGATAGATTTCACAATCACAGACAATAATATTCACCAGTAATACAAAACTGTCACCTATTACTATCTGTTTCGAAATATAGTTTACATCTAATTCAAAATCACAAGTGTTTGTGGTCCATTTGATCGTCTAAATAGACCATTGCAATGAAAAAACTCAGACCATTTTGTGAATCCCAAATCTTTATGGAAAATCTAGTATTAACAGTTTGGATTAAAATAGTAAGTATTGTTCTCAGTAGAGTAATGACTTACCGCGGCGGAGACAGGCTCGGGGCGCTGGCTGGGCCCGGGCTCCGCCCCGGCGGCGCGGGGCCTCCTCACGCACACGTCTCCATCACACACTACGTCGTACTCCTGCCCTGACTTGCTCACTTCGTGGTGCTCCGTCTTTTGAAGATTGACTTGAACTAACTTAGCCAAAGAACAGGCTTCTTTTTATCCACAACGAAGAAGGCTTTTTCATTGGACTTGGAAGTAAGTTAAGGTCGTGAGTTGAGCTAGAATCCGGTTTTCTTAGCAGACCAATGGCTGTTCCACAAATGCCATCGCAGTCTGTGACTCAGGCTTCGCTGTTTCTATTACTTACCTCTTCGGAAGCTGTTTGGATATTTAGCCAGTCTAAAATTCTGGCGGTCTTTTCGGTCTTCTTGGTACATTTGTGTAGTTCTATAGATTGTTCTATACATCGTACTCCTGCCCTGACTTGGTTACTTCGTGGTGCTCCGTCTTTTGGCGCTCGACTTGAACATACTTAGACGAAGAGCTAGATTTTTTTACTTACTGATTTGGGAGCAAAATAATGAGCTGGGCTAGAATTCAGTCTTCTTAGTTCTTAGTAGACCAGTAGACACTACCGCAGCTAAACGCCCAAGTCTCTGGTTGAATACCAAAGAAGATATTCTGTTACTTACTGATTTGGGAGCAAAGATAGTGAGCTGGTCTAGAATTTGGTCTTTTCAGTAGACCATTAGCTGTTCCACTAGCCAGATACTCAACCCTTATCGATTCTAACACTTACCACTTCAGCTGAGCTAGAAATTGTAACGGTCTTTTCGGTCTTCTCAATAGACTTATGTGTGGTTCTATGCGTTGTGGCGATCTTTTCAGTAGACCTATGCGTGTTTCTACATTGGATTGTAGCGGTCTTTTTAGTAGACCTATGACTTACCACAGCAGATAGAGACTATTCTCTTTCTACATCGGAAATAGTCGTGGTCTTCTCGGTTTTCTTAGTAGATTTTCGTCAGTTTTCTTGACTTACCGATGCAAAGACGCCCTTAACTTAGTTTTTTTCGGTGTTCTCAGTAGAGTAATGACTTACCGCGGCGGAGACAGGCTCGGGGCGCTGGCTGGGCCCGGGCTCCGCCCCGGCGGCGCGGGGCCTCCTCACGCACACGTCTCCATCACACACTACGTCGTACTCCTGCCCTGACTTGCTCACTTCGTGGTGCTCCGTCTTTTGTATCTTGGCCGCTGGACCGGATGAGGTCTCTGGAAGGTGTTGATTTTGTTGATTAGAAAGGTCTCAATTTCAACGGTGAAAATAGTCTCAAGATGGGAACAGTAAGAAAATGGGAATAGTCTCAAGTTGAGTCTCAAAGTGGGATTGGAAACAGTGCCAAGCGGTCGGAGTTTCAAAGTAGGAAATAATCACAGTGGGGAATAATGTCAAGGTGTAAAACAGCCTTTAAGTGAAAATAGTCTCAATTTGGGATTTAGTCTCAAGGTGGAAAACAGCCTTACTTAACATAGAAATAATCTAAAGTGGAGAATATCAAGGTGGGAAATAGTCACAGTATAATAGATAATAATAATAAATAGATATCCTTGGACAATTTACACTGCGCCGCTAGCCCCAAACTAAGCAAAGCTTGTACTATGGAAACAGTTTCCAGGTGGGAAACAGCTTTTAAGTGGAAATAGTTGAGAGTAGTGTCAAAATGAGAATAGTCTCAAAGTGGAACTGGAAACAGTCTCAAGTGACGTAAGTCTCAAGGCGGGAATAATAAATCATTAATTTGCAACACAATGGTTACAGATTGGTGTTAATTTCAATGAATTACAGCATATTCTGTCGCATAAAACATGCAAAAGTATTTGTTCTTGAAGTTACATTATTGCTACATTTAGTTTAAGTTTGTTTTAGTCGTATTGTTTAGGTAGTGTTGTGTGGATAGGTATTGGTAGCAGTCCAACCTTTACTAGTACTATTGGTAATAATATAAGGGAAACCTGTTATTGGCCATCTTGTGTGTTAATGTATGTTAAAATTGTATAAATACGCTGTTGGTTTTCTCAATAAAATAAAAAATAAAGTTTTAGGGAGGTGTCTCACTCAAGGTAAAAACCTTTAAAGTGAAACTAGTCTCAAAGTAGTATTATGCCTGTTTTCACCACCAGGGAACAGAAATTTTGTTTTCATAGGAAAACAAAATTTCTGTTGTGTTATCATAGTCACTTAAAAATTAGGGATTGATGGTGAAAACGGGCATTAGTCTCTGTCTTACCAGGCTGTTCCTCTGGCGCTGGCTTAGGTTCTGGCGCAGCGCTGGCCGCGGCCTCAGCCTGCAGCAGACTCGAGGTTTGTTCGCGAACGTTCTGTGCTGACGTGGAAGGCTGCATCGATGGCTGCTTCTCGTTGTCTGGAGAAGGTAGTAGCTTGAGTTTTTATTTGTAAACTAACAGTGTACTTCTCCATATGCAGTCTGTGAAAAACATACTGATTCGGAGCGGCAGAGGAAATACATGATTAATTATTTTATTATTCAGGCAGTTAAATACTGCAGTCACTTCCATTCATTTACACTTCCGACATTTATAGTTTATGTCTTTACAATGCAAATGGGTGAAGAATACGGGTGCGTGTGTCAATTCTCGCTTGTGATTGTCCTGTGGATTAGATATGACAGGAGGTGTCGTCGCGCGTATTTTGTTTTCCATGCAAACTCACGGAGATGAACTGGCCTGGTATAGTCTGGTCCGTGAGCACGTAGTATTTTGTCCAATGACCCATAGCTACCCATCCTCTTCGCTCGCGCGTAATTATGTCGCTATCGCGCTCGCACATTCACTGCGGGTGCCAGTCGCACAGTCGCGACAGCAATATAATTACGCGCGAGCGATAAGGATCGATAGCTAAGGGTCATTGGACAAAATTCTACGTGCTCACGGACCGGGCTTTAGAAATATTAAGTTGCGATTGACAATTCAAGTCACGAACAGGGATTCTTCCATAGACTGAATAATTGTTACTTACGGTGCTCCTCCAGTATCCTGTCGATCCTGGTGGCCAGGTTGGAGGGTTGCACGCCTGCGCAGACCACCTCCAAGGGAGTGCCATTCCGCCCGATGAAGAATAAAGATGGCACTGGCACGAATTGGTCTGAGTACTGAGTTAGGAGCTTATTGCGTCAATGTGTGTCATTGTCAGTGGCCTCCTAATTCACGTATTTTGACAGTCAAGATCTCGCTGACGTTTAGAAGTCGTCCCATTGAAAAAAAAACAGTTCTAAATTCGTATTCACAAGGGTCATTTTTATAGAACGATTACTCGATAGGATCGCAACTCAGCGATTTGTTGTCATTGAAGTTTTGTTACGTCGTCCCATTGGAAAACAGTTCTAAACCCGTATTCACAAGGGTCATTTTGATAGAACGATTACTCGATAGGATCGCAACTCAGTGTTTTGTTGTCGTTGAAGTTTTGTTACGTGAATGAGGCTACTGGTCATTTATTAGTCTCCACTACATGGGCACGACTCAATGAGGGCTATCGTTTTAGCACTCACCAGTTAGCGCCACTGTAAAGTAAGGTCCTGTCACTTGCTAGTCGCGAAGACAGTGGCACCAACTGGTGAGCGCTAAAGTGGTAGGAGGACTATTGTATTTGCACTCATCAAGATGGCGCCACTGTAGAGTAAGGTCCAGTCAATCGCCAGGGGTGCCAACTGTTAAGTATAAAAACGATAGCCCTCATTTAAGGATCAGTCAGGCAGGACAATGTTTTTTTATGCATAACAAGGCAGGTATTTGACCGCAATCGCATCTGGTGTTTAGTCGCTTTTTACGACATCCACAGCAGAAGTGCTGGTCCTATTCTAATCTACTAGGACCAAACTGTTTGTATTTTCACTAAGTTGGCTTTTAAAGTAATTTGTAAGTCATCAACATTGTTTTAAGAAAACTTCAATATTTAGTAAGTCTAGTATTTACATTTAAGAGGGTTAAAAAAGTTTGTTTGAAGTAAAGGTAATGGAGAACTTTCTCTGTGGCAATATTCAAAGGATACAGATCTGCGCGAAGTGTGTGTAGTTAGTGGTGCCGCTCTTCAGCTTGATGGCCAGGAAGTTGGTCTGGTCGGAGAGCCGCTTCACCACCGCTGAGTCGTCGATGGTGGCTGACATCTCTGCGGAGAGGTCATTCTCACCTGGGAGAACACAAGTACATTTTACAACTTGAAAGAATAAGTAATGCCCTTAGTTACTATGTTTGAACCAAATAAACAATTTTTCTTTCTTTCTTTCTTAGTTGTACTCCTTAAACAACCATAGAGGCCGTAAATAAACAATTTCCAATGTTTGTTTGTGCTTACAGCAGAGGAAAGGTATCTGCTGGTAAGGTAGCTGCATAATAAAATGTATGGTTATTATGCGAATAAACCTCTGTGCACTCTAACTGGCCTTTATTTACACACATCCCCTAGTTCACATATATATCATTGGCGACGTGGATGGTAATTAGAATGACAGTGTAACCATTTTAGAGCAGGATTCTTTCTTTTTGTTTTGGAAGATAATGTAGCTTAGTGGCAGAACACAGGAATACAGAATGTAAAGCACTGTGTACTGAGTCTGGAAGTATCAACATTGTTCTTAATAATTTTGTGTTAGACAATTTGATTTCACCATTTTTACCTCAAACCTCAATTAATAAGAAATCAACAAGATTCTTATAAGTAGAAATAAGATGGCAAACAGGAAAGAATGGAAATGTAGATGAAAGTCTTTAGTTAGACAAATGGTGCCCACAAGTCAACAATTTTACTTTTACCGGCTTGGAAATGTATGAAAATCCCAACTAATATTATAAATGTGAAAGTAACTCTGTCTGTCTGTCTGTCTGTTACGCTTTCCCGCTTAAACCTCGCAACCGATTTTGATGAAATTTGGCATAGAAATAGTTTGAGTCCCGGGAAAGAACATAGGATAGTTTTTATCCCGGTTTTTGAAACAGGGACGCGCGCGATAAAGTTTTTCTGTGACAGACAAAATTCCACGCGGGCGAAGCCGCGGGCGGAAAGCTAGTAATTTTATAATGAGATTAGGGGCTTTCTACGACATAGACTGCTACTTTTATAGAGCCAATCAACAGCCTTGTACGCGTACAATATGACGTAATATTGTGCAGTTTCTACACCAAAAAATGTGTCTTTAGGACTTCAGATATGCACTTTAAAGTCCAAATAAGGTTTTTAATTAGTATTTCAGGCCTTACCTTCGACAAAAACAACGAAAATTGCGTTTTTTTGCTTGGACAGCGTAACCGCCTCAGCGATGCTTCCTCCGTACCAATGCATTGTGGAACGCCTAAGTTTAAGTTTTCTAGCGCAGTTGTAAACCTCCCGCTATTGTTTTGCTGTTTTTTTAGACTATTTCAGTCCAAGGAGCGAACAAAAATATTACGATGACATGACACAACAGATTTTGACAGCTGACGTGTTTTTGTTTTTTCGTGACAATTTCATTACCACAAGAATATTCGGAAACCATAAAAACAAAAGTACTTAACTTTCAGATTTCCCCAAAAATTAATTACTTAATTGATTAATTTATTATTATAAAATATGGTATAATTTTTGTATCATCCAGAACTAAAAAGAAATAAAATGTGATTTTAATACATTCAGTTTCAGGTTTATGAACGTACTTTTGTATAACCCTATAAAATGAAGAAATAGGTTTTTGATAGGTGAGAAAACGGTGAAGGATATCTCTTCAAACGAAGTTGATTATACAGGGTGGAAACGATAAGTGATCTCACTCGATTATTTCTAAACTATACCAGATATCGAAAAACTGGTTACTGATCCTGAAAGTGCTTCACGAGCTCTTTCAAATGGTACCAATAACAGGTTACAGAATAAACGGGATCTATCCGAAAATTCAATGTTTCCAGCTTCCATACTAAATGTATGCCAACCACTCAATATTAGAAGTGTATTCTTTTTAAACTTAAAATAAACTCGTAAATTGCATTCTTCATTAAAATTATTTATGGAAAACATTAGTTTTAGGCTTTATTTGCTATAAAATTTGCTATAATATTATCAAGAGATGAGTGCAAGATCTGTGATAGTACTAAATGTATGGAAGATGGAAACATTGATTTTTAGATAGATCCAGTTTATTCTGGAACTTAATATTAATACTATTGGATAAAGCTCGTTAAGCACTTTTAGAATCAGTAACCAGTTTTACGATATCTTTTGTAGTTTTTAATATTATGAGGCTGTACCAAATGTATGGAAGTCCGGAAACATTGAATTTTCGGCTAGATCCCGTTTATTCTTTAACCTATTATTGGTACCGTTTGATAGAGCTCATGAAGCACTTTCAGGATCAGTAACTAGTTTTTTGATATCTTGTATAGTTTAGAAATAATCGAGTGAGATCACTTATCGTTTCCACCCTGTATTTGATGAAATATTAGAACTTTGTCTATGGTAAGTTTCATGTGACCTTGAGAATTTCTCCACTCGCCACTAGATGGGGCTATTAGCAATTATTGTCATTAGTAGTTCTGCTCTACGCTAGATGTCGCTACGATGAATACAATTTTGTTTTGGTATCGTTAAGTCTGTTCTTGTATTGTTTATTTAGTTGGAAATCGCAACTTATTTAAAGTTTCTGGTAAGCTTGAAATTTGTGGATTATTTTTCTTTGCCAGTTTCACAGTTTAAAGTTGCTAACTTAAAGAAAGACAAAATGCAGTCTCTACAAGGCAGGGGGTTTCTTAGCCAAATTGTTGGGTCGCTCGCTACTTCATAGCACTCTTTTATTTATTGAACGGAGATCTCTTAAAGAATGCCAATTCTTCTTTGCGCTTTATTAATTTAGTTCTTAGCCAATATGTCTACAACACATACGACTCTACATTTTCCATTGCAGTGTTTACCTTGATATATGTAATGTCGCCGTGCCTTCAGAATCGAGATGAAATTGCTTGATTGGTATTAGGTATAAGCTTGATGTTGATCATATTAAAGCTACTTTATTAATCATTTACTCGTAAGATAACTCTATTACAATATCCGTAAATGGGAGGTGAAATGCTAGGTATTGATTCTAAAGATAAAGCAGATAAACTTAAAGTTAAGGCGATTAGAGTCCTCAATCCGCGTCAAATGGGCATTTTGTAAAGGCATCAAGGTTCATCAATCAAGTTTAAAATAATAGGCAGTATGTATGAAGAGCTCTTCTGTACCTACCTATGCCCGTGTATTTTTGATCGGTGTCAGATCGGAGTTTTCGTGCGGGGTACGCGGGTGTTGTGCGGAGCGTGAAGGTCAAACGCCCAAGGTCATTGAGGACTAATCGCCTTAAACTTAGGTACCTACCTACATGAAACTTATTGAGCATTTTGTTTATAAGATGTTCAATCGGGTTCTAACCGTACAAAACTAAAAATAAACCGCAGTCTCCATTTCCTTTCGCATTTACTTCCAGCACGCAATTAACCAATTTGTTTAAACTAACAACGACTGACAACACCACGCTCCGCCGCCTTTATTTTATGAGTTGGCAACACTTTGCCGTCTTTGTAACTGAAATTCCATTTCGAACGCAATGAGGCGCGAAACTTCGCGCCTTAGCTTCTAAATTTAATATTGTTACAACTGTCGGGAACGGATGGACGGCATTTTAGCATAGGTATTATTATTATTACCAAAGGTTATAGTGAGAGTGATTGCGACCACTTGACTTGTTGTTACAATGAAGTCTAGCCTGCGCTGCTGCATCTTACTTTAACAAACGTCATAAATCTGTCAAATTCTATACAAAAAACACCGGTAATCGTTAAATAACTTTCAAAGTTAGGTAGTGCAATCAGCCTAAGTCGTTGAAACTGAATCAATAATCAATAGTAACTATGTTCTGAACGTAAGGCTAATAGAAGGCATACAGGGCACAGGTTTTTATTGCACTATGCTCAAATGCGGCGTTTACGGTTGTGTGGCAGGCAACATAGTATAATGTGTTCTAATTTTATTATCTAAGCCTTAAACTCTATGACAAACTAAAGCTAATAAGTTAGTTGATTAAATTAGTACTTTTCAACGGTGATCAGAATCGACTTCAAAGCTTAGTTTAGCACAACGAGCAATCAGTTTAATTCAAAACAAACAAAACGAATCAAAGAGATCCAATTCAAACACAAAAAAGGTTAAATCAAACTACTGGCTGCAGTGGCTGCAAGCGTAACGCACCGACGCTTGCGCGCGAGAAAAAAAGCAAAAACGTCAAAAAGCCCGCGCATTCCCATCTATCAAGTTGACAGCTCGTCTCATCGCGCAAAACGCTTACGATTGCTACTCGTTAGGCATTGATGACTTTGTTAATTGTTATTTGGCACCAAATTAGATTTAACGCGCCCACTGACGTGTGAATTGATCGCTCGTTTGTTTCGAAGCATTTTAATTTGAATTCTTGCGATGCTCTGGCTGATTCTGTCTTGTTGCCTTTGCCACTGCGTTCGTTCTTCCGTGATGACGTTATTTATTAGGTTCTTTACTATGTCAACTTGAGATCGTTGGTTTTAATTTATTGCTAATTTGCACGTATTTTAGGAAAATACATTGTGACTCAGATGTAACTTGAAAAAATTAGACTAACATGGAATTGCATCGTGGTTTATGATTTTCTGTGCGTTGTAGTCAGTGCCAGATTATCCAAGCAAAATAAGCATTTAATTTTGTTTAGGGCATCACGTCACCAAAAAAAATGATAGCACTGAAATCTATTTTCCGCGAATTTTAGAGTAGTAAAGTCACACAGGTTGTGGATTGCTTAGGGCATCAAAGTAGTCTTAATCCGGCACTGGTTGTAGTGGGTTAGGGGCCATCCATAAAGTACGTCACACGAATTTTATGATTTTTTGAGCCCCCCCCCCGTCCTTGTCACAGGTGGTCACATTTCTGAGACCCCCCCCTCCCTAGTGTGACGTCACATGTTTTGCAATTTTACATCGAAAAATTATTAAATTAAAACAGCAGTTCCGAAATTAGTTTTATTTCCATTTAAATTGAGTATTGTTTTTATGAAATCAACATTATATCAAATATTTGAAACAATTGAAATGTGATGTCACGAAACTTAAGACCCCTCCCACCCCTNGGTCACATTTCTGAGACCCCCCCCTCCCTAGTGTGACGTCACATGTTTTGCAATTTTACATCGAAAAATTATTAAATTAAAACAGCAGTTCCGAAATTAGTTTTATTTCCATTTAAATTGAGTATTGTTTTTATGAAATCAACATTATATCAAATATTTGAAACAATTGAAATGTGATGTCACGAAACTTAAGACCCCTCCCACCCCTTGTCACACCATGTCACACTTTGTCGACCCCCTCCCCCCACTTTACGTGTGACGTACTTTATGGATGACCCCTTACCTCCGCCACATCGAATAACAATTTGATCAAAAACCTAAAAATATCGAACACGATTCATGAAAAACTCAAAACATCAAACGATCAAAATATCGAATGATTAATATCGACAGAACTTCAAGAAGTGACACCCGAATATCGAACTATGCGAAAGAAGTCGCGGGAAGAAAGCTAGCATTAATAAAAACAAATGTCATTTAAGCCTATCCACCCCATGCTAATTCAATTGGACATCGAAACTCAAGCCAATCGATCAGAACAAAATGACTAACAAATTGTAGGGTAGCTGGCGAGGGTGTGGGTACCCACGGTGCTCGTACTGTGGTATTAACAAATTATAGTGTTTAAGAAGAGGGTTGTAGACCTAGCATTCTATAGAGAGTGCTGAGTTTTGTTTATTTAAACTTTAACTCTCATAATCATATCAGTATGACTGAACACTCCGTTAACTTATGTGGGCTTAAATTAATTAAAACATTGTCAAACCAGAGCCAAATTTTATCCGGCTCGAAGGACCACGCACTTGCAACCGAACCACTACCATGTGTAAAATATGGTAGAGGTCCAGTTTAGTAAAAGTCACCTTATTTGCAGTTTCCCAGCGCGGCAGCGTGATTGAATCTGGAAGAGATGGAAACCAAAAGAGGAAAACCAAAGTGATCGATATGGCCCGCAGAATTGCTTAAATCAAGTGGCAGTGGCGGGGCACATAGCTCGTAGAGCTGATGGCCGTTGGGGCAGAAAAGTTCTAGAGTGGCGACCACAGGCTACAGTCCGTAGCGTGGACAGGCAGGGCACTAGGTGAACCGACGAACTGGTGATGGTCGCGGGAAGAGCCTGGATGCGAGTAGCGCAGGACCGGTCTTTGTGGAAATCGTTGGGGGAGGCCTTTGTCCAGCAGTGGACGTCATTTGGCTGAAACGTACGGTATCTATATATATAAAAGAAAGTCGTGTTAGTTACTCCACTTATAACTCAAGAACGGCTGAACCGATTTAGCTGAAAATTGTCAGGGAGGTAGTTTAGAGCCAGAAGAAGGACATAGGATACTTTTTATCCC